TTTTAACATATAGAATAGGGTTATGATAAATGTAAAACATATGTATTTTCCTTATTACATTAACTTTACTGCAAAAGGCAGTATTGTAAGAGAACAATATAATTACTTTTAAGTCTTTTCAAAATACTCATACAAAAGAGAGAGAAGAGAGAGAGCACACACATCTGGCAATTAAATTGTTTAGAAATGAAGTTATTTATCCATATATAGTGGGGTAACATCTGACATCTTGTTACTGTGTTCATGTAGAACACTCGATTCACTGCTTTCCTTTACATTTAGATGATTGGAGAGTTATTCCCCTGGAGTTTGGATTCTCCTGAATTTTGAGAAATGAGTATCAACCCTGAACATAATTGTGCTTGAACCCAGACATCTGCTCTGTGCCTGCCATGCCACCTGGTGGTGCATAGTACAATGCTGTGTTTACATCTCAATATAAAGGAATGGATATGATTTCTAAATTTACATTTTGGATGAAATGAAATAGGTGTTATCTGTATGTGTGCATAAATACCTGCAATATACACAAGAAGTAGTGTTGTTAGTGGAAGTTTTGAGTTTAAAAAGTAGTTAAAATATATAAAATGTAAAAATAAACTAATTACGAAATAGACTATAAGGAGAGAAATCAAACCAGATAAATAGCTAAATTATATTACAAAGTAACAATAAATAAATTTCAGAATTATCGGAGATGACAGATAAGTGGAACATAGTAGAATTTAGAGAGAAACTGAGATAACAACACTTTGAATCATTGAGGAGATGAAATATTCAGTATGTAGTACTGAGAAACCTGACTCATGGGACGATTAAAAGAAGTGATGGTGATAGGCACGGTGGTGCACATAGGAGGCCAAAGGATGATGATTACTTAAGGATAGTCAGGGCTACATGACTGTATCAGAGTGTCAGAAGCTGCAGAGCAAGATCGTGTCTCAAAGCAAATGAAAGGGTGGTGATAGAACTCAGCCTCATTATTATAGATGCATTGAAATGGAATTCTGTTGTTAAGTTCTGGGTGCATGGAAAGTTAATACACTAATGAGCTCATACTGCTGAATCGCTGAAAGAAAATACCATTTGAATAATAATCTTAGAGTGGGAAAAGATGCTGATAAACCCTGAAACTTCTTAAGAGATTATATCCTTTCTGAGAAAAGAAGTTGACAAAAAAATTGTAAAACTTTAATACTTAGTAAGGGAACATTAAAATCAGTTCTATAAACATTTAAAGTTAAATGGATAAAATTGTGGTATCTTAGCATTTAGTAGAGTTTTTGTACATGATATGAGAACATTTTGAGTTTGTGTTCCTCTGAAGTAAGGTGAAGCATTTTCCCAGAACAATTGTGCAATTTAGCATTGGGGGGACGTTCCACAAGACATTTATGTATATTCCTAGTGTGTGTGTGTGTGTGTGTGTGTGTGTATGTGTGCGTGCGTGCTTATCCTTTATTATGTAATTGCGTTGTAAATTGCGTCTAGCTTAATTATTATTTTGTTGCTTCCATTCTCTGTAGTCTGTTTGGTCTTTGTGAGATCACCTGTTTCTGTTGTGACTTCTGGTGTCTCTGACCCAGGAAGACACTTCTGAAATATGACAAAAGCATTTGTGTGTGTTTGTGTGTGTACAGATAAACCACCTATTGAATTCAATTTAGCATGTTTTATCTTTGTATAATTCATGCTGTGTGGAAATGTAGGACCTCTTTTAAATGATTGTTTGTGTGATACATGTGTGCCTGAGTGTCACTATGTGTGCATGTATGTGGGCAGGTACACATGCATGTGTGTGCATACATGTGGAGATCAGTGTCAGACATCTGGTGTTTTCTTCTCTCCTGCCTCACCTTGTTTTTGAGGCAGGGTCTCTTGATGACTTGGTTAGAAAGGCAGTCAGCACAGCCCGGGTCAGGTCCATCTGTGTACCACTGGGATTGTAGACATGCACTGCTATGCCCAGCTATAGATCTGAACTTAGGTCTTTGTGTTTGAACAGCAGGAAGTTTACCAGTTGACATTTCCCAGCCTCTTATTTTATTTTCTAAAATTTTAACTTTGTTTTAACTTCTCATAATTACCTTGTAATATGTACTGATAATACATTAAATTCAATTTTTTATAAAAATTGTCATCCTATCATTAATATTTGCAATTGAGGCATATTATTACTATTATTACTCTGTCTTTATTAATATTTTCAATTTGTCTTTTATTAAAGTTATCATGTAAGTTTATGTTTATTAAAGCTTTTTTTCCAAGTATGTTTTGTACGTTTGAGTTTAGTTTCTTTTATATCTATTGATGCTGTTGGTGTTGTAAATGAATGAACTTTTTGTCTTTTTTTTTTTATTGTTATTTTCTTGGAGGGAGGTAGGAAGTTTCAAGTACTTTTATATTTTATAATATTAAATTTTTCAGTAAGAGTTTTTTAATATTGCATGTTTATTTTGAAATTAATTTTATTAAAGAACTTCTAGAAAATTATTTGACTATATCATTCATGAGTTCTTAAATTCTGGAAGATAGTCAGTGTATACATAAAAGAGATGGCATATAGGGCTTCCCAGCCCATTGAAGATGGAGACATAATTTTCATGAAATTCAAAGTCTTTACTCTGGACTTGCAGCCTTAACATCGCTGTAACCTCTAGCTAAGATGAGTCCGTACTTTCTGTGTGTATTTCTAACCAAATGCAAAACTCAGTCCCTTCATCTTTCGCTTTGTACATCTACTAGATAAATACTCTGTGCACTTGTAAAGATTAGAAAGGAGGAGATCATCAAGTAGAAGCCAGGTGTCCACTAATTCCCCATCTATACTCTGGACATTCCCCTCATCTATTTTACCTCCAACCCAGTGTGAATATCAACTTGAAACCACACTGACCTCTTAAACCAAGAGAAGTATTACCTACTGAATATACTGACTACTTTTCCTGTAGGTAACCATGATAATGAAAACTTTTTCTACTTCCTTGTCTGTTAGTGAAAACTAAACAAATTTATTCTTACCATGGTTAATAATTGTGGTAGTAAAAGGGAGAGAAAAAAATTGGATATGTAGGTTTCATTTTAAATCAAGCAGAATAAAATCTGGAGTAATCTTTATCACCTGAAATTTATAAAACTCCAGGACCTTCCAATTCTATGTGATGGAAGAATTCAATGGCATCATTACTGTAAGGCCATCCGCATCTGGATTAACCTTTTGCAAATAGCATCGATCCTAGAATTTAATCGTAGGTCGTGAATTACCTCAAGGCAAGGCATAGGGAGAAGGGGCCATGTTTCATGCATTCTCCATGTAGCATTTTTTACTTGTGTTAGGTATATATGCCTTAGGGCTGTGCATAAAACTTAAATTGTGAATAGATTTTTTTTTCTCCGTCTTACTTAGAAAATACAGATATCAAGCTCAAATTTTCAGGGAACTAAGACTTGGTAAATGTAGCAACAAATAAAATAGTAATTTTGGTCCTAAGTTGAGATAGTCTGTGTTTCTTTTACACACGCATAAATCAAGTTACTTAAGAAATAATGTTTAAGATATGTGTCTACCCAATATGCATAGTGTTTTCTTCATTGGCTACAGGATTGTACCATCATCACTCTCTCTTGCAGAGTTTGATTCTCTAAATCATTTGGGATATGAGCTGTAGTCTTTCCCTTCCACCTCTAGGAATGAAATGTCATAAACCCCCTTTATACAGTATCATTAAATAAAGACAAAAACTGTGTAGGTCACATATTCCCTTCCTATAGCAAGCTGAGCCATGGTACCAGTGTGACATGATTCTTACCATGTAGTGATCTTTGGATATGCTCTAGAAAGTGCTATGAAGCTGTAAAAAACACATTGACACAGGGCAATGATCCACTGATACTGAGCACAAATGCAGGGTGTGCAATGGAATTGGCAGCCAACTCTGCACCAAAAACACTGCTATAAAACTAAGTCACACCTTTGTTCTTATGACTGCCTATAGCATGCCAGTCATTAGACAGCAGGACTGTCCTTCAGGGAGTTTTGTTGTTGGTGTTGTTTGTTTGTTTTGGGTTTTATTTTGTTTTGGTTTGGTTTTTAGTTTTTTGAGACGGGTTCTCTGTGGCTTTGGAGAATGTCCTGAAACTAGCTCTGTAGACCAGGCTGGCCTCAAACTCACAGAGATGTTCCTGCCTCTGCCTCCTGAGTGCTGGGATTAAGGGCGTGTGCCACCAATGCCCAGCTTCAGGGAGACTTATGTGTCCCTCGATGCACTGGACCTGTTAGTGTTCACACAGTAAACGGCTTCTATATTTTTGAGAGAGAGTGCCTCTCTCAAATGCATGACTTGTGCCTGTAGAACCCAACTGACAGGAGTGGTACTTATATCCAAGACCACATTCATTTTTAGCTCAGGTCATCCATCCAGAGAAGATGGGGAGGCTTCACGGAGGAATTCAGCTGTAGGGTTTTCCACATAGTCAGTGCTTATATTACATTTTTCTGAAACCATGGTTTAACTATTAGAATTTTCTGACTTTTGAGGACTCACAGTATTAGCTACTGGTTTGTTTGGGTTGTTACTCCCTGACCTGAGAGAAAACAAACAAACTAACCAACAAAACATATGCCATCCTACTTCAATGAGCATTGTCCAAAGAAATAAATACCTTTTAATTTCGTTTATTTTATGCATATTAGTGTTTTTCCTATATAAGCATACCTGTAGTGGGCAGAAGTTAGAAGGGAGTGCTGTAGTCTGAGAAACTATAGTTATGGAGAGTTGTAACCTATGTGGGGGTATTTGGAGCTGAACCCAGGTCCTCAGCAAGAGGAGAAAGTACCCTTAATGGCTAAACAAGCTCTCAGCCCCCTTAAATAAATCTTTTAAAGTAGTTTAAAGTTTTTACAGGAAAATGCCACTAAAGAATATTCAAAGAACATTTTTGATGCCACTGACTGAACTGTATTGGTCTTCATAAAATTGCCTTCCATGTTTCTATTATAGGATCTGCAGAGTTGGGTAAATGGTGCTCAGGAACATGGCTTTGTCCTGGTGTCTTTTGGAGCTGGTGTCAAGTACCTGTCAGAAGACATTGCTAACAAACTGGCTGGAGCTCTGGGGAGATTGCCTCAAAAAGTGATTTGGAGGTAAGGTCATGGTAACTTAGGTTGTTTTTTTGCTGTTGAGTACTAGTTTCTCCTTATTTAATCTCCATGACATGGAACACTGGAGCATGGAACATTGATTCACTGATCTTGAGGTTTCATTTTGTTTCAAACGCATTGAAATTGGTAACTAATTCATAAAGGTCAGTGATTGATCAAAAATAACTGCATTGAAAGAATATATTCTGTGGAATGAGATAGTATATATGGGATACAGTTTTACATTTCTTTCATATTAAGGCTTCCTTTTTTCTTTAAAAATTTAGTTATAAGTTTCTTCAATTAAGTTTAAAATAAGGTAAATAATTATGCATGAGTAAATAAGTACCTTATTAATTCAGGTACTTTGCACTCTCCCTGTGTTTTCTCAACTTTATTAGTATTTCCAGAGCCTTAATCTGAGATACTGAGCTTCTGAAACTCTTAGTAACTTACCAGATAATAAACACTGGTTAAGATAGACTCTGAGTTACATTCCAGCTTACTGAAGGCACAGCATAAGTGCACCAGACCTGCATAATTCATCAAGCATGCATTTATTTGCATGTACCACTATTTCAGAATTCTGGGGACATAGTAATGAATACAACTCCACAATAAAGAAAAAGCATCTTCCAAGCCATTATATATTCTCTGAGTTGTCTAGGTTTTTACCTTCACAACAGTGTGTAAGGCTGGGCTAGCAAATGCTCACAAGCTGTTTTCTAGGGAGGATATTCCCCTTCTGGTTCTGGTTCTGTTGAGATTTTTCCATCAGGCTTTTAACCCAGAGCATCCCTATGCTTTAACTGAGGATGTTCTGTTTGTTTACATCAGATTCTTGTCAACTCTCTTAATTGTGAGACATATTTGAAGCTCAACACATAAGAAAGAGCCTAACTGAGCTTTGCTCTGTTAGTCTCTTTACTGCCAAAACCTAGAAGTATACTTTCTGCTGCCTTTCACTGTTATCACTGGGTGGCAAGGGTGGTGGCCACTAAGCCCTGTGGTGGTTGATTCTCTTCTCTATGGGTACTTGAGTAGAACTAAATTCAGCAAAGATTCATTTAGATCCCACCCCCAACTCTTATGTTTCTCTTATAAGAACAGATGGAAAATAGACTTTTATGAGAAAATTAGATCTTATCTGTCTGTGGAATGTTTTATTATAAAGAAAGTGAAGCACATTTTTATTGATACTAAACAAAAATTTCTCTCATAAGAACATCAGTAATGCATCATATAACATAACACTTGTAAGTCTACAAAATCAACCCGTATCCTACAGTCTTCATTTCTGAAAGACCCATTGTCTGGTATTCATTTTAGGTTTTCTGGAACCAAACCAAAGAATCTAGGAAACAACACTAAGCTCATAGAATGGCTGCCGCAAAATGACCTGCTTGGTAAGTCAGTGGCTGCACTTACTTAACTGATATGCAAACATGATATTAGTTCTTGAATGATTTAGAATATCTGTGCATGGTTTCTGTTGGACTCATTCTTAGCTAGTACTTCCAGTCTGAAAAATCAGACCACTGATTCAGAATTTTGTTTTTTGGAAAATCATTTGTAAAATGCAACCACTAGAATCTGTAATTAAAAATTTTAAACAATCTCCCAATTTTAATTTTCCGTAACATATACATTATATAAGTTTGTAGCTGTAAATGAAGCTATCAGGTTCATTGGTAAAAGTAGTAAAATTTAAGCATCAAAAAGCAGAAACTAATGCTATATTCATTTATGGATTTATCTAAGTCCTAGATACTTGGCAGTTATTTGATTGTCTGAAACCATAGAAAAGCCAAAAAACCAGGGAAATAATTGACTTAAGTTTGATTTGGTACTTTGCTTAATTCCTACTAAATTACTATGTATCTTTAATAACGAAACAGTTTAGATTTTTGTTTTTTGTGATTTTTTTTCTTCAACATGAATTAAAATAGTATTGATAATTTGAAGTATGCCTAAATAGAAATTATTTTACCTAGTTTAATGAGTACAGTCAGTAAAATGAATATTTATATTTATATTTATATTCATTTAAAAAATGATAAGAAACTGTTGATGTGAGTAGTGTTGGGCACCACTTATGCAATAATATTAATGATAAATGTCAAATAAAATGACATTTTAAAATTATTACTCTTAAAATACTAGTAACAATCTTAAAATACTTTAAAATTTGCTTATTTTAAAATATACTTTCTAGATGCTACAATGACCCTACAAGTCAGACATTTTATTTTTTTATTATTATTATTGTTTTTAAAGTTAGGCTGTCATGTAATTCAAGTTGTTCTTATACTCAACTATTAAACTTTTTAGGTTTGAAGTCTTGATTCTATCTCCTTTTTTATTTTTAATTTATTTTATATAACAAAGTCCAATTAAATGAAAACAAACATTTATAGACAATATTTGGGAATTTGGGCGTTGTTCTTTCCAAACTACTTCCTGCTGGTAAGGGGCACTCTCATGGGGGATTCGAAGAAGATGCAGAAATCCTGGCTGTAGTCTGTAAGGCTGCTTTGTCCAGCTGTTTTGAGTGTAGGATCAGCTTGTACTCTGTTTCAGGCAGTCTGGCGTGATCAAACCACATTAGTCTGGAAGGAATCCACATCTTTTCATTTTCTGTGGAAACAAAAATAGAAATCCTTTTCCCCAGTAACTTGTCCTTCAACTTAAATTTTGGAGTCAAAGCATTTTTTTTAATTTAATTTATTATTTTACATATCGATCCCAGTTCCCTCTCCCTCCCTCCTTCCCTCCCTTTTACCCACTCTGCCCTCTCACATGCACTCTAACCACCCTCCCCTCCCATCCACCCACCCCAATTCCATATGTAAGGGAATGAAGTGATGGAATTTTAGAAGTGTCCCACCAACAAATAATTAAAGAGAAAGAGAGAGAGAGAGAAAGAGATAGAGAGTTGACCCCAGGACCTCATATATGATCAGTAAGCACTATTGGACTGTCCCGCATCATTGCACTGTATCTTCAGGCCACAGACCAAGCAATTTCAATTTCTCACACAAAATGGTGAATAACTTTTGTATTTAAGTCCTCTTCATCTAGCTTGTTCTAAATATAAATAAGCAAAAATAAACACAACAGTTTTCTTTTCCCAACACTTTTGGTTTTTCCTTCTCTTTCCTGTCTTTCTTGTCACGACATCTGAATCAGTACAAGGTGGGAAATAGGAGAAAAATCTCATAGAAATCTGGCCATTAGCTAGCAGCTAGCTCAGTGCAACAATATAATACTTTTCCTAGGAACATGTGAGCTTTAAATGTGGGACTCACAGCATAGTGCAGCTGTTTAGTGGTCTGTGAGGAGGACTATTTCAAGGCTCCCTCAGGTTCTCTTCGTCTGTTTTCTGACTTTTCCAAGGTTTGATACTACTCTAAGCATCACCTCTGCAGGAGCTGTGATGACTTCCCTAATCAAAAATTCATCCAGGACTAAAAGTGGGCACCAAATCACTGTCTTCTCCCTTCATCCCATAGTGTCCTTTTTCCTTCATTTGTCAGCACTACTTGATTATTCAGTGTTGGACTTGATAATACAGGTTTTGTTAAAACGAGGAGTTCTGCTACCAAGAAATACTTTTAAATCTGATTGTCATTTAATCTGAGATCGGGGTAGGCTCTCTCTATGCAACACTTAGAGACACAAATATACTGAGAGCACATTGATACTGCAGTTCATAAATAGTAGATCTGCATTTCTGAAATCGATAATTATTTGCTGGCCAACAACACATTTTCTAAGCACACTGTTTATTTTTTGTACTTCTTATGCAAGTTTTTTAACCCTCTGATCAAATACAGGCCATTTATCTCAGGGGCATACCTCATTAAAATTGTGACAGGCTAGCTTTTCTATTCCCCATGATAGGTAAATGCTATATGATACTACATCTCTTAAAGTTCATGCCCTCAATATCTTTCTCTTCATTATCAGCAATTGAAGTGTGTGTTGCTAGTTATATGTGTGTTGTGTTTAGGAGAATGTTGTCATATATTTCATTACTAATGTTAGATGTTTAAGTAACCAAAAATGACTTTCAGTTGATATATGTAGCAGACAATTCAATTAATGTGAAATTACCTCTTTAAAAATTAATTTTCTAAAATGTGTGCTTATTATAGTGTTGGTCTTATAAGAAATTTTGAATAAATTTACAGTAGTGATGTGAATTGTTTCCTTTTTATCTTTTAGGTCATTCAAACATCAAAGCCTTCCTAAGCCATGGTGGTTTGAATAGTATTTTTGAAACTATGTATCATGGTGTCCCTGTAGTGGGAATTCCACTTTTTGGAGACCATTATGATACTATGACTCGTGTACAGGCAAAAGGCATGGGAATATTGTTAGAATGGAAAACAGTTACTGAAGGAGAGTTGTATGATGCTCTGGTGAAAGTTATCAACAATCCGAGGTAAGACTTCAGCTAATATAAGACAGGTGACAATATGTATATATACATATACATTTATCACATACACACACATATCCACTTAGACACACATATTTATTTACACATCATATTGACAGTAAGTTGTCTCTAAGACCATTATGGAGATATCCCTTATATTACTATTATTCTTATGTGTGTTTTCTAAAATTTCAAAGTTAAGCATATAAATCATTTAGCCTTTTAAGTTGTGATCCTAAGGTTTTTGCCACTTAGATTTGTCAGAAAAACTACAGTAGGAACTATCATTAGATCTCTCTAGTGTGTGAGATTTTCTATCTTTTATATTCATTTGAATCTTTGATACTCATTGCGCTAGTTATATTTGTCATTGCTGTGACCAAATACTTAACAAGATGCGACTTGGAAGAGGAAGGATTTATTTTGGTCCGTGGTGATTTGAAGGTATATCCTGCTGACCCAGGGGAAGGCCTGATGGCAGAAGTGGCTCCCAGCTGTGGTCCCATGAGCTTCTGCTGATTGAAAAGCAGAGAGTGGAGAGCACTAGTACCGTCCTGGCTTTCTATTTCCTGATCCTAAGTCCCCAGCCATAGAGCAATGCTAACATACTCATATTTCCCCTTCTCAGTTCCCTCCTAGAACTATTCTCACACACATATCCAAAAGTACATTTCTCAGGAATTCTAAACCCACTCAAGTTGACAGTGCTGCTACCACGTATCAGAATTTTTGCTATTGTCACTATAGAAATGAGGCACTTGAGTCTCAAAGAGCTTCAGTAGTTTGCCTGTGGTCACATAGCTTTTCAAATACGAACTGAAGACAGACCTATGTGATGTCTAAGCAGAGCTCTTTATCCTGCCTGGCAAACGCGTGCTGCTGGATTTCCCAGCATTTGCTGTGATGAGATGTGTGTGCTCATGTGAATGATGAATTAGAATCTCTATTTTGCCTTTTAAATTCTTGATGTGTCCTGAGTTAACCCACTTCACAAATAAGTCTCAGTGGGCAGCTGCCCTGGGTAGTTTTAAACAAAGCAGCAATTTTCTTCATTTAAAAGCATGATGTTTAGTTTATCATGTGCTTCAAATGATTTTAAATAGCTGAAGAGAGTAATTAATTTCTGTTTTTACCTGGGGGATATGCCTGAGCCCTGGGTTGAGAATTGTTGCTATATTCTAAGAAATGTCACATGAGAAAAAAATGGTTTCTTAAAATATGTGACCCTTACATACAAAATATTAGAATCATCCAAGGTTTATTATGCTACATTTTAGTAGGATCAGGGATGACACTAATATTGACCCCTTAAAACAACCAAAGTCTTGGTCAAAAATATGGCTCTTGGAGCAGTATGCTCTGTTCCTCAGGTAACTGTGTACTGCCCCTTCTATAATCTGTAGTTTCCCTTGGTAGACATCATGCATTGGAAGACATGCTGTTAGGAACATATTTTCTTATGGGTCTGAAAATCTGAAGGAAAGTTCTAGGGTGGGGAAGTTGGAGAGCTACTAACATTGGGCCATTATATAGAAACATTTGCAGAAAGTGGTTCAGCAAGGTAGTTTGTGTGTTTGTTTTGACTGTGAAAGTTGAACCCAGGAGCCTGCACATGCCAGGCAAGCACTCTTCCATGAGCTGTATTCCAAGTGCAGCTTAGCTGTGTTCTCTGAGGTGTGAGCAAGCATGAATTACAAAAAGATCAGGCTGTACTCATTACACTGCAGGGAAATCCTAACTGAAGTATCTTGAAGGACATAATAGGTGGAAAGATGCCTTGCTTAATATAGAAATAGCAAAAAGTATATAACATAAATGTGCCATTCCCTAAAAGTCATTATAAAAATTAGAACAGTTTACTTTAAATGAATTGCAAACATTTCACATTTAAGGTAAAACCATTATTTAAAAGGCTAGTTTGCCTCATTAATATTATATTCAATAACCAATCTTGCTGAAGAAATTCTTGTTTTGGGTGATTTTTTTTTTTTAAAAAAACCTAAACCCTACATGATATTATTCCTTTACCTAGTCCCTTGCCTTTGTTAATGAAAACCCACTACTTTCTTTGTGTAGAAGAACTATTCTAACTCTGGAAACACATCATTTTAAAGAAAACAACAGACAAAGGCAAACTGATTTTCATAATTTCATTTATCTAACTCAGGGTCAGCTTTTACTATGAGGGATTTTTTTCATGAGTTCATGAAATATAATGTAATGCTATTTGGTTCTGTGATTTAAGCTACATAATTTATAATTCAGTACAGTCTTGAGAAATTTAACACTGCTGATGAATGGATTTACCCTTGGGATGCACCTACTCTCCCAGCTTTCTGATTCTTCACACTCCTCCTTTAGCATGACGGGTCTTCACAAAAGCCTAAGACTTTGCTCTTTGGTAAGGCACCAAGAGCCATATCATATGTGATATTTTTATGTTCCTGAAGAAGAACTTTTTCTTTTGTCTAAGCAGTATAACTTCTGTTGGATCCCTGTGCTAAAAAATGATGCTAGTCCTCTGTATGATTGTCCCACTAATGTACAGTTATGAGATTTAAAATAAAATGTTTACATTTTATCACTTTACCCGCTTTTTAATTAAACACTTAAGAAAGTGTTTATAGTCATGTACATGTTTGCCTACATTCCTGACTATACTACATGCATGTTGTGTCATTCATCATATCATAGTGCTCCTTAACCCCCCCTTTTATTTTTGCTTAAAGTAACATTCTTGTACCATCATTTATAGTGATTTTAAAGAACTGAATGTCACTACTTTATTTTTTAAGAACTGGTATGAAAAAATCCCAATGTTTTTTCTTTGACATTATCTGATAAGGTACATTGATTAATAGCATTTGGCAGTCTCTAATGAGTAGTGTTTGTGTGATGTGGTATGGGAAGGGCTTGAGTCAGAAAATACACATCAGTCTCATTGTGGAATCATTCCAAGATGCTGGATCTCTGATTTTGCTTTTCCTCACTAGACTGAAACATACAGAGGTACTATAAGTAGCCAAAGCATTTAACTCAGTGTTGGAAGCACACTTAGGTGCTTAAAGAAGATTGTCAATCATTCACCATTTCTAAATTGAGATAGCCATCAGTACAGAACCTGTGTATGTATGATCATATTGTGCTTTTCCACTGCAGCTATCGACAGAGAGCTCAGAAGTTATCAGAAATTCATAAGGATCAACCCGGCCACCCTGTCAATCGAACTACCTATTGGATAGACTACATTCTTCGCCATGATGGAGCCCATCACCTCCGTTCAGCTGTACATCAGATTTCTTTTTGTCAGTATTTTCTACTGGATATTGCCTTTGTGCTTTTGCTTGGTGCTGTCTTATTCTACTTCATTTTGTCCTGTGTGACAAAATTTATCTATAGAAAAATCAAAAGTCTGTGGTCTAGAAATAAGCATAGCACAGTTAATGGACATTACCAAAATGGAATTCCCAATGGCAAATACAAAGGAAATGGTCATATTAAACATGAAAAGAAGGTAAAATGAGCCAACAGCCTAAGTTATGGGAACAAATCTGTTCGGTCATTGAGTTTGTATTGCTATACTTTAGTCTAACAGCTACTAAAACTAAATGTCATCAAACAGTTCTAATACTCCCTCATCAGACCTTACTAATGAAATGCCATGGATAAGATATCTACAAAGAGCACAAACCTAAATGCAAAAATGTATTTTATTCAAATACTGATGCAGAAAGTTGGCACTGAACCATTTAGAAGCCTTAATGATTTAAATCAACTGATTGTGTCAGACCTTAGTTTTAAATGTCACATTATAGCCGAGGAGAGATGTCTTTTCTCGTAAGATGTATGTATGTGTGTGTTTCCTATTCCTGGACCAGTGAGTTTTAGCTTGTATTTGTTGGAAGTACAACATATTCAGGAACGGAGTAGGAAGACAGGACCCAAATGTTTCTCAGCCAGTGTTTAACATATGTGAACTTCGAATTTTCCCTTTAAAGATTGAAATTTAATGCAAAGAGGCAGGTGAAATGACAGCTGGCACAGCTTTTTTGTAGTTTTGTTTATTATAGATTTTTTTATTTGTTTGTTCTGTATAAGTCCCTTTCTTACCCGCTATGAGTGCGTGTGGAGGAAAGCATGTAATGAAGTGAGTGAATTGGTTTTCATATTTTGTTTATGTTTTTTTCTGGAGGAAATTTCTAATTTTCCTGTCTTATTTTAGTAAGTAATGTGTTAATACATAACTAAGACAAAACAACAAAGCTCTTACTTTTGTTCAAAGCACTAAAGACTATTGGTCACATGGCACTTGAATGTTTATGTGACTATTGGATATTCCATAATTTATGTTTTGAATATTCACGTGTCATCATTTTAAAGTTTTGACTTTAAAGTAGCACCTTTCACTCCTTTATTGTCTGGGTCACACAATCTAGTACATAGGTGCCAACATATAATTCTTTGAAGCAGAACATTGGTGATTCTCCTGATTGGTACCTGTTTTGTCTTCAGGGGTTTGAAGTTTTGTCATCAAATCAGACTTTACATGCTACACAGACGTGACAGGAATTGTACCACCCATTTGGGCAAATAAGTTTCCATTCCCTCACTCGATCACCACAACTCAGCAGCCTTTTATGTCATTGTGTCTGACATGGGACAGTGACAGTACTCATTCGGAACAGGGAGACAAGACACAGCCTTCACAAAATCAGGACCTCCCTTGAGCCACTTGCTAGATGACTACTATAGTCCTATTCCATGTCACTCTGTTTACTGAGCATTTGCACTACACATTAGGAGTGTGTGCTTTATTTATTTGTGGTTGGAAATCCCATATATGACACTTGAGAGTTCCAGGAAATGAAATGTTAACGTCATTCACTAACAAGGAAGAGTTGTGAAAAATCTAGAATGCTGTAAATCCTTGTCATACACTATGACATACAACTTTATGACACTCCCACCAGGAGCCACCCTCATATACTTAGAGGTAATACCATCATTAGTTTTTCTAATGCACAATGCATAAAATGTACACTGCTTTCTGAATACTTGAAGATATGGTATAGAAATATACAAACCTGTTAGTTACACCTTTTCACAATCTTATCCCAATGTTGCCATTAAACGGAGAACAGGCAGTGAATGGTGGGAGGGTAGTAGAACATAGAGTGTATGAATGAACTGATTCTGCATTTTGGCATTTGATGAAGTTGACTATAGGCACTAACTGGATGATTAAGCATAAGTTAATTTCCACTGTGATTAAAGAAAAGACTAAAAACAATAAACAAAATTGAAAATAGAGAAATGTTGTTGGAATAAAATTTTTATTAAGATTTCATTTCACAGTATTATATATAGGTATGTTTAGATTATAAACATGTTTCTAAGGCCTCCCTACTTTTGTATGTGTATATGAGTGTGAAAACAATGTATTAAATATGAGAATGTATTTAATAAAAATTAAGTGCAGGGATTTATTTCAAGTACATCTTTAAATTCTATCAAAGTATTAAGAATGTTAAGTACAATTCTTAATTATACTTGTTTCTTTTTATTTTATTTCATTGTTGTTGTTGTTCTCCTCTACCCAACCCCTACCCTAGACTCCAAGCAAGCCTGTTAGCAATTTACACACTTGCTTTTAAGAAAGATTCTTTATAAGAGCAAGTGTTTCCACAGCTGGTTTCATCAAATGAAGATAGGTTTATTTTCCTTCTAAGTCAACAACTTTAATATCTCTCCAATAGTAGAAGGCCAGGATTTTGATAACTCAGATTGGAAATATCCCATATTTGAGTTGGAAACAACACTATTATTGAACTTGAAAGAAACTATACACTTCCCCCAAATCTCAGCCTCTCACTAAATTCTATATTACTACTAAAGTTGAATGACTCCACTTAAATAAAAGGTTTAAGAATAGAAGAACCATGGAACTTATGTTTGGTCTTCTCAAGAACTTCTTATCATGCTCTATCCCCCCAGAGAAGCAAAGTATGTTGAAAAACAACCTCAACTAGTAATTTAACAATTTGTTTTATTGAAAGTATAACTAATTCATTTTTCATTCTTTCTGCCAAGAGTATTCAACAACCTTGTAAATGTTACAGTTAACAAAGTTTATTATTGTCAGTAATAATATGAAGGAGAAATCTTTCAAATCTCATTGATTTGAAATTTGAAGTTGAAGCATGGAAGTACAGGAACTCTATTGCTGAAATCTCCTCAAAATATGTCTTAGAGAATTTCTGGCAGACTTAGATATTCTTCTCAGACATGTTGTAGTTAATGTTACTGAATTCCACTCAGTTCAACCATCCACACCATTATTTAGCTGAAAACTCTCCAAACTGTTCTTGGTTTCTAGTCACTTGTGTGTCTGTGGAATGAATTTAGGGATATTAGCAATAGGTGGAATCACAAATGTATGTAATCTAGTTTTTCAAATTACAGAAACTCAAAGGCACATGATAGTTTTATCACACCCTTTCTTTGGAGTGATTCACATTGTCTGAAAATTTTCTGAAAATCTAAATAATGTAATAAAAATTCCTATTTAGAGTAAAATCCCTGTTTGGAATGACGAGTCACAACCACAGGCAAAATTACACTATGATTTTAAATAAATTTTGTTAATCAATATAAGTCCAATACAAACATTTATCTAATGGAATTAGAACACTGCTGATATTACAAGAGATTTTCATTTATGAAAATTGTTTCATTTACAAACCAATACAGAATTTTTCACTTATTTGTAGAGAACTGTAGATACTATATTCCAACTTGATTTCTACAATCAGTTTTTACTTTTCAGATCCTATTTTGTATAAGTGATAATTCTCTATTGTAATGAGCAGAATTAACTTTGGTTTTATTGAGTCGGTGTTATTTGCGCCTTTTCAAATGATAGCTTCTGTTGTACCATGATTCCTTAGTCCCAATATTAAGATCAGATTTCTGTTTAAAAGAAAAATAAGTTTTAACTATAATCAAGAAGATTTTTATTGATATCCTCCACACAAATACGAAAGTTTCAGATACAAGAACTATTATAATTGTACATAGCATAGAATGTTAAGTGTGTGCAGTAGAGTCTCTAACCTATTGGAAACATGCATTCTATATTTTCATGAAAATCTCCCTTTAGGTTTTCCCAGAATTTCCAAGCAGTAATTCCTTACTTTTACTTCCTCCCCACAAATGGTAATTCAGACTTTTAGACATTGGTAAATTGCAAGTCACATTCAAGTCAGCCATTATTTATGCTGAGGCTCTCCTGAATGGCCTGATGTTACAAACCATCAGTTCTGCTTCTAATCATGATTCTGTCTTCTAGGTAGATCAAACTATTGAAATTTCAAATGTCAGGGCAGTGAGAATAGTATGAACAATTAGTGAAAGGCTTGTGAGCAAACACGCAGGGCTCAGAAAGTTCATGAAAGTTATAAGGTGCACAAGGTGCACAGGATGCCTCCCCAAGAATATAAGCAATGTCATTTGCTGGGGAGAAGAGACACACCCACCAAGCTGTTTATAAGCTACAGGAAACAGAGATGGGTAGCATGTCAAAACATGCTAGGGTGAGCTTTGGTTAATGCGTTTGGGACATCATGAATTTGTTAATAACCTCCAAAAGCTCACTGATTGACTAAGCTTGACATCAGTGCCCTGTTTGAAGATAGATGAATGGGCATTTGTTTACACTTCTCCAGGAAAGACTACATAGTATGTAACTAAAGAAGTAAAATCATAAATACATTGTTGGTTGGCATTAAATTCAATTCTTTGTGAGTTGCATTTTCTGAAATCAAAATAATAATGAAGCTTGCTTTTTCTTGAGTGAAAAATTTGTCTCAACAGCGTCTTTTAAATTTAGAAAGACAGAGAAGAGCTAGAATATTCTGGAAACTTTAGAAGCTCTTCCTAGAATATTTTTAAACAAATTATCGAAGAAACAAAATTAAAGACTCATAGAATTAATGTACTGTATTATGTTCTTCCATGTCCTTCTATTCTGATTATTCTAAAATCAAAGCATTTCTTAAATTAAAATTTAACTTACATGTAGATTTAGGTATAAATGGCATTTTCTTAACTGTGAATTTAAGTGAAAATGAGACCTACTCCCTTTGTTGTCTTATAGAAAATTAAGGGAAGGAAGTCATTTGTTTTGATCTCCCAGCAAATTTCATGGATTCGATGAAATAAAAAGGACAGTTTGTGCTGTTTTAGAAACCAGTTCTGAGATTTTTAAGGCGATTGGCTCAGATTCTATACTGTCGGTTGATAGTGCCTAATCTTCTCATTGTGCTTACTCTTATTCTCTGGCTTCTGGGAGTTCATCACTTGCACAAGTTAAAAATGCCATAACTCTCTGGCATTCCTAAATGTGCATAGATTGCATGTGTGCATCTAAAAATGATACTTTTAAGAGATTATAAGTTAAAACACTCAAAAAAATACAGACGGAGTTTAGTAAATGTCCATTAATTTAAAAATGCCTGGTCCCGTATTAAACTTTACCCACATTCTAAGGCTCCATGAATAGAGGGAGGAAAAAGTGCTCATGTCCTTTCCCTCGGACTCCATGAGACTCTTTGAATATGGCACGATGCCAGTTCTATGGGGGCATAGCTCCATGATCTCTAAACAGTCAAGCCACATGCACAGTGCTTTTTGCTATCCTTAAGATTGTGACATCAGTACCTTGTACAAGTGAAGAACTTTCGCCTTAAATGTTTATTGTGCTTTTCTAAGATTCCTGTACTATGAACTGTTCTGATTCTGCAACC